AAAAAAGCAGTCTACGGTCCTTCGCACTAATATTTGTTATAAAAAGTCCATACCTTTCTGATGTCAACGTCGCACTTCATGATGGACTGGTAAGTAGTCTCATGTATACCTGATGATTCCATTCCAATGAAGTTAGGTTGGAAGAGAACCTCAGGACAACGGAAGCGCTCACTTCCAATGGTTATGACCTAGAAAAGGTACCTTAGACGTTATGTAGCATCAATACTACTTACTTGTCCATCGGGAAGTTCGTAGCTCTTTTCAAGTGAGGATGAGCAGCCAGCAACTGAGAGTTCTTTTTCAAAGTCCAGAGCAACATAACACAGCTTTTCCTTGACGTCTCTAACGATTTCTCGTTCGGCTGAAAATGGCGTAATTTAGAATTTCTACGATAAGGCTGGCGCTGGCGCAATCGTTATCAGCGCCAGTGCTGCGCTTTGTTTGCGTTGCAATCAGCGCTATAGGTATGCATGAGCGTAACGTACCACTGGTAGTAAAGGTGTAGGCACGCTCGGTAAGAATTTTCATCATGTAGTCGGTGAGATCACGACCAGCCAGATCAAGTCGGTGAATTGCGTGAGGAAGTGCATAACCCTGCAAGTTTTCGGAATTGAAAAAACGAAATTCAGAATTTGATTCTTGCTGACCTCATAGATGGGCACGGTGTGGGTGACCCCATCTCCAGTATCAAGTACGATACCTGTAGTACGGCCAGATGCGTACAATGACAATACAGCTTGGATATTTACGTACATAGCTGGCACGTTGAAAGTCTCAAACATGATTGTTGTCATCTTTTCTCTGTTGCTTTTGGGGTTCAACGGAGCCTCAGTAAGAAGCACGGGATGCTCTTCGGGTGCTTCTCTGAGCTCATTGTAGAAAGTATGATGCCAGATCTTTTCCATATCGTCCCAGTTTACGACAATACCGTGCTCAATCGGGTACTTAAGAGTCAGGATACCTGAAGAGTTGATCGATGCATCGATGCACTAATCAACAATTTCTATTAACCTCTCTTGGACTGAGCCTGATCTCCAACATACGAGTCTTTCTGTCCCATTCCCACCATCACGCCTTGATGTCTAGGACGTCCCACTATGGATGGGAAGACAG